ACACTGTTCATGGCATAGGATATAATTTTCTCTAAAAATAACGTCGGCAAATAATCTAAATTTTAATTTTCGATCAATAGAGATAAAATCCCGCGGTTCCCATTCTGAGACTGGCGCCAAAATCGAGGTTAAGACTGAAAAATGCCCAACTCAATCAGATAGAAAGAAAACCCTAAAACCAACCAGAGAATCAAACATCTCCGATGAAATCACGATCCGTAAAGCTCCGGGAAGCTCATAAACTCAGCGGAAGCGCCGCCTTCTGCTCTATCCTCTGGGACCACAAAGCGGAACATTTCGTGACTTCATCCTCTTCGGATCCCTCAATCTCCGTCCACGATGGACTCTCGCCTTCAACTTTACCTCCGACGATTCTCCGACATCACCAAGACGGCGTCACCGCCCTGGCTCTGAGCCAGGACTCTGCTTTCCTCGCCTCTGGATCTATCGATCATTGTGTGAAGCTCTACAAGTTCCCAAGTAATATTCAAATCACTTTCTTTGAATTCTCAGTTACATTTCAATTCGTGTTGATAAGTTCTTGGGGGTTTTCTGTGGCGACGGAAGTGTAAAATCTTAGTGATGCTTTGTTTCTCTAAAGCTTTAATTTTATTAGTTCCTCCTTTGATTTTTCCTTAGGTGGGGAATTTCAGACGAACATAACCAGGTTTACGCTTCCCATTCGCGTGCTTGCATTCAATGGCTCAGGGAGTCTATTGGCAGCTGCTGGAGATGATGAAGGAATCAAACTTATCAACACGTTTGATGGTTCTATTGTTAGAGTTTTAAAAGGGCATAAAGGACCTGTGACTGGCTTAGATTTCCACCCTAATGGTGAGCTCTTGGCTTCGATTGACTCAATTGGTACTGTTTTATGCTGGGAACTCCAAAACGGAATTGTTTCCTATACCCTTAAGGGTGTTGCGCCCGACACAGGTTTCAGCACCTCCATTGTGAATATTCTCAGATGGAGCCCTGATGGAAAAACCCTTGCCGTGCCTGGTTTGAGAAACGATGTGGTGATGTATGATAGATTCACTGGGGAGAAGCTTTTTGCCTTAAGAGGTGATCATCTCGAGGCTATATGCTATCTAATGTGGGCTCCTAATGGCAAGTATATAGCTACATCTGGTTTGGATAAACAAGTGCTTCTCTGGGATGTTGATAAGAAGCAAGACATAGACAGACAAAAATTTGAGGAGAGAATATCTTGTATGGCCTGGAAACCGAATTGTAATGCTTTGTCCGTCATTGATGTCAGGGGAAAATATGGAATTTGGGAATCGTTAGTTCCTTCATCCATGCTATCTCCTACAGTGGGTGTTCCAGACATACTACCAAAGAAGAGGAATGAGATTCTTAATTTTGATGACGAACTTGAGGAAGAACGTTATCATGCATCTGAAAGTTTAAATGATTCTCTGGTGGATAGTGATGAGGGAGAATCTCATCATACCAGCAGGAAAAGATTGAGGAAGAAAACTTGTATTGATGATGATGGGGATGAATATGAGGAACTTAATGATGGGAGTAGCTTACCTTCGGCCTCGGAATACAGGAAAAAGTCACATAGAACTCACATAGAGAAGAAGGGTGCAAGAGGTGGGGCTTTTAAAAGCATTGCAGCATCAACCAAGTACAAAATGCAAAGTCCCTTTCAACCTGGTGCAACACCACTGGAACCAGGAAAACGTACATTTTTGTGTTACAATATGTTAGGATGCATCACTACAATTGAACATGAGGGGAACTCCCGTATTGAGGTACTTGAGGCGTACATTTGTTATGTTTCTAACTTGATTTTGCCATTTAAAGGTTTTCAGAAAGAAAGAGGCAAACACTTGTTTCTTTTGTGTAATTTTGGTCTTTCTTTTTGCTTGGACTGTAAATTCAGACAGATTTTCATGATACTGGAAGAGGTCCACGAGTTTCATCAATGATTGACATATATGGCTTCACTATGGCATCAATAAATGAAAGTGGATGTGTCTTTGCAAATCCCTGCAAGGGAGAAAAGAACATGAGTGTTCTGATGTATCGACCATTTAAAAGTTGGGCCAGTAATAGTGAGGTCAGAGGATCATTACTTACACAAAATTCATTAGAGATTATCGACCAGGATAGGAAAATAATTGACTTGGTTACTTTTTGATTAAAACATCCAGTGGACAATGAGGTTCGAAGGTGAAGAGGTGAAGGTTGTTGCCAACGGTACTGGTTGGGTTGCTGCAGTTACAAGCCTCAATTTGCTTCGCATATTTAGCGAGGGTGGTTTACAGGTTTCTTTTTTTGCACTTCTTTATCATGTGTCATTATTCATGCAGGCTGATAGGCTAAACAGCCAACTACTCGTAGTTTGCCCTTTAGTAATGTAGTGGTTTTCTGCTTAACTTGCTGTTGTGAATTTGCCTCTGTTTGGCTCTTGTTGGAGTATTCTTAGATGAAATTGCATCTACATAATTATTATGAGAATCTGCAGCTCTTGTATAACAATGAACTAATTGAAACAGAACGCTTGTAAAAGACAAAATTTAACAGTAAACAAGAGTATTTGGATATAGTCGATTTATTTTGACATGAAGAAATTTCTTAACAGAAAGCTAGTTGTGTAATATGTACCATGGAATTGAGATACTTTGTTCATTTAACATGATAATTTATGTTCATTTCTTGCAGAAACATATTATTTCCCTTGATGGACCCGTAGTCACTGCTGTAGGATGCAAAGATCAACTTGCTGTGGTAACTCATGTTTCAGACTGTCTTCCTTCCAATGAACAGGTAGTTACCATTTCTCATCAGGTTTTTCACTTAAATCAACCTTGCAGTCACTTGGCATCCTCTAAATATTTGCTAGCGATACAAAGCTTCTTAAACTCTATCCTATGGCTCCAACAAGTAAAAGTGGTCCATAAATTTGAGAACAAGAAGCATTCAGTTTGGTTATCTACTATGCATTCTCGTCTCATCCCTGTTTCATGCAGGTTATGGAGTTTAGAGTCTATAATATATCCAAAATGACTCAGGAGTTGAAAGGCCGTGTTGCGTTAACTCCTAGCTCACGTTTAACATGGATAGGCTTCAGTGACGAAGGTTCTTTGAGCTCATACGATTCTGAGGTTTGTTTTCTTGGATTCCTGCTCACTCTTTTGCTCTCTTTGCATACAACACGCATTACAACAAAAGAGTTTCATGCAGGGTGTGTTGAGGGTTTTTACAAGTCAATATGGTGGCTCATGGATCCCAGTCTTCAGGTTTCTTGCCTTTGTTATCTACAATTTCTGAGAAGTTTCCTTTATTATGTTTTTTCAAGGTGTTTGTACGTACTGAACTCATTGTAATTTTTAGTACCAGTAAAGAGAAAAAACGAGAAGAAAACTACTGGGTTGTTGGCTTGAATACAACAAGTGTGTACTGTATAGCTTGTAAGCACCCTGAGATTTTCCCACAGGTAATATATTATTGTTCTCGATGCTAATGTGTTTGCGGTATTCAGAAAAAATAGGCTACCTCACCACTATTCTTCTTGCCATTTTATTTTCAGGTGACACCAAAACCAATCCTGACTATACTAGACCTTTCTCTCCCGCTTGCATCCTCTGATTTAGGAGCTGCATCTCTAGAAAATGAGTTAATGCTAAAGCAGCTGCATTTATACGAGGTTTTCCTCTCTACTTGTTAGTTATTACACCATTTTATTATATCTGCTTTTTCTGGTCCACTTTTGCTAGTATGATCTGTGTCCCCCAAGTTTTTAGCTACTGAAATGTTTGGCAATTAGTCAGTTGTTTTGGGTAAGCAACATGGATAAATATATCAGGATAATTTATGCTCTTGTGAAACCTTTGTTTCCGTACACTAATGTGTGGAACTTTAGTTTCCTGTAACCAAACTATAGACATTCTCATTACAACATCTGCTGAAATTAGTATTAATATCGACATATTTGACCAATACCAATTAATAATATTCTCCTAATCTCAGGCTCAACGAAGAGTAGACGACATGGCTTTGGCTGGAGTGGATACCACAGCTCTTGAAGATGAAGCTTTCGACATGGAGGTTTCTCAAGATAAATGCATACTACGGCTCATCAGCTCATGTTGTAGTAGTAAGTTAATTATTTATGTGTTCGTACAAGCTTGCGTGAACTCAGATTCTTAGACCATTATTATCCAGGTTCTTACAACAAAATTATTTACATTCATTCAGGTGATAGTTTTGTGAGGGCCAGTGAACTTATGAGACTTCTAACTCTAGAAAAATCAATGAGAGCAGCAATTACACTGGTTACCAAACTCAAGCTTCCTTTTTTGGCAGAAAAATTCTGCAGCATACTTGAGGTACTCTACAAGAACTTTCATTTCTTATATATTGCACAAAATAGAAGAAGATCAGATACAGACAGCCATTTTTTTTTTTATATGTTAGGCTAACTTCTGGTTCTGAACTAACAGGAAAGGTTGCTTGAAGAAGCTAATGAGGCAGTAACAAATACTTCGCAGAATCCAAACAGAGAAGTAGTTACAAGAGTTGAATCCAAGGTCCAGAATCCTCCAGCTTCGGTTCTGACAAGTGAAAACACAGAGGCAGTTATGAATTCTTCTGCAACAAAGCTGTCTGCTACTACACTTGTTAGGAAAGCAAAAGTTTCAGAAAGTTTTAATCTGGGAAAAGAACAGACAAACAAAGATGAAACTGAAGATGCGAAGATAAAAGAGGTCAAGAAATTGAATTTGTTAAAGAATCCGGTGAAAAATGTTAACAAGGAAGACATGGGACTGAGAAAGGAAGTGAATCAACAAGAAGCTCGACGTTCTTCAAATCCATTCCTGAAATCAACTGTTTAATATTCTTATTTGGAGGTTGCTTTATTTGACAATGGTATGATTAATACATCTGTTTCACTTTTTTTTTTTGTTTTTTTAATGATCCTACAGCTGAATGGTTACACAGAACTTGTGATTCTGTGATAAAGTATTAGGTTATTACAATACAACAAGCTGTTAAAGAATCATCACTAAATGCATGGTGAAACAGAGAGTTGAATTGTACAAGTTCCGCAATCAGCCATTTGTTGAATCTCATTCTTCATAATCATATGGAAGGACTTGACTTTGTCTTCCTCCACAATTTCTCTAAGAACATCGTCCTCAATCTTCTCAGCTTGCCACTGAGATGGGTCCTCCACAAATTCTTCCCTGAAAATCATACTTGAGACCCACTCTTTCCAAGTTTTCCTCTTGTATTTGTCTTCCTCAAGTGTTCCTCTGGACAAGAGCTGGTAAACGTACACAACTTTCTGTTGTCCCGGTCTGAATGCACGTGCGATTGCTTGCTTTGTCTTAGAAGGATTCCACTCTGAATCAACCATGATCACCCGTGAAGCAGCGGTTAGACTGATGCCTTCTGCACAGGCCGTGATTGAAGCCAGCAGAATACGGGACTCGCCTCCTGGTTCTTCAAATTTGTCTATCACTCTACCTCTCTCAAACAGCTCAAGATCCCCTATCAAGGTCAGGATCTCTCGGCCTCTTTGCCACTTGAAAATTTTCTCAAACAACTCAAGAAATAGGCAAATCGGCGCAATGTTGTGGCAAAAGATGATGATTTTCTCCTTGTTGACCACTTGGAGCACAAGGTTAAGCATAAACATGACTTTTGATCCTTTCTTTGCATCGTGCTTGAGCTTCTCAATCTAGGAAAGCTCCTGAGGATTAAAGAATTTGGTGCAATAGGTAGTGGTTTTGACCAACCAAGGATGGATAGCTAGGTACTAACGTTATGAGTAACTCGAGCTTGAGTGGATATCCATGGTAAGTCGACATTATGTTCTGAAGTTTGGTAAGAATTTCGTGTTGTATAGATGTAGAATTCATCAACAATGTGTAAATCTGCAAACCTGGAAGGACACCACCACTTCCGCTTCCGCTCCCTTCATAGTTATCGATGAAACCAGAGGTCATATTTCTCAACATGTTGAGACCTTGCAAGCGTTCATCGCCCACTTTTCTGTCAATCTTCTTGGCTATAATGTCAAGGAAGAACTTCCAAGCTCTTTTTTCAAGCAAGGGAGGCGCCTTTTGCACAGCTTGGTTTTTCTGGAACTTCTGATCCAACTCAATTAGAACCTCGTAAACAAACTTGGGTCTAGCCAAGCACAAGGTATTGAAGTACTCACAGAAGTTGTTCTGAAACAATGTACCCGAAAGAAGAATCCTCAAATCAATATCAACTTTCATCAAAGCCTTTCGTAATCTCGACTCGGTACTCCTCGGGTTATGTCCCTCGTCTAAAACCAGTAAACCAGGAGACTCTCTCAGTACTTTAGCCATGTATTTTCTATGAGCAAACTTTGAATCTTCCCTCATCAATGTTAGAAACGATGTGTAACCCATTACAAGAACACTTGGCTCTGCATGCCATTTCTAGATTTTGTCTAAACAGTCAAGAACATGCATAACATCTTGACATCTTACTTTCCCATATTTTTCTACTTTACTACGATAATTATCGATCTCATCCATCAAATGACTTCCAGAGAAACCACCACACAAACTATTTGCATTGAGACCAAACTGTTCCAACGGTATAGGATCAAATACGGGAGTGAAGGGAATAACCGAAAGCTCACGATTTCTACAAAATCCATCTGTTTTCTTCCTCTTCCTATTTTTATTTTTGTCTACCAAAACAATCTCTCTTTGCTTATCCTTACTAAATCCATGTGTGCTTCTCTTTTCTCCAATAAAATGCGATAACGGTAAGTTTAAACCGTCATTGAGAGCTCTATCATCATCAAAATATTCTTCTTTATTATCTTCATCATCATTTAAAGCAGTCCATGTGTTGTACCTATATGGCATCATCGTTACCCATCCATCCTTTGAATTTGGTTGACACACAAAGTCAGCAAATTTATCTGGCGCCCACTTCTTCTTTTAGATCGACGCATCTCCATTACCTCATCTTGAATCTCCTCATTTACATCAGTATCTTTATTAGTATCCTCAGCTGGATTGAACAAAACAACTTTAGACATGGAAACACCGTCTTTGACCGTGATGTTTATAGCACTCAAAAAGCTACTAGAGCATTCACAATCTTCATCTGTCACAATTTGATAAACCATCCTCTCATGAACGGTTCTGATCTGAAACACAATGATTTTCAAAACTGATGTAGCAATCAACCAAGTAAGATCATGCAAAAAAGTTTCCCAGATTTAGTCCTTTTTTTCACCAGCAAAGTACAATCCTCTTGAGTTTCTCCATCTGTAGTAATGGTCCGAGCTTTGTTCCTTGCAAAACTTTTGTAGCATAGAGATTTGGTTGAGTCCCATGAAGACTGAACCTCTATTCATTATTTGTTTCTCCGAACCGATGCAGCCTTGGTCTATATACACACTAACATTAAATTTACACAAGCATTCAGATTCATGAGGCTTCCTGTCAATAGACAATATCCTTGCATCCACCCAAACCTACACCTCACACACACAAAAATGTCTCAAATAAATGAAAATCCGTATAAATTTGTAGATCGTCATATCTTTGTATACAAGGATAAGCATTAGAGTATTTCTCTTTACACGATAAGCTTCTTTACTTGAATGTAAAAATATTTATTTTTGGTAAATGTAAAATATATTGAAGGAAGTGAATGTACCGGCTCTGTAGTTTCTTCATCCAAAGTGACATCTTTCTGATAGAGAACACAAACATCAAGACCAGGTCTTAGTAAAGATATACAGTCGACCAAAGTGGCCTTCCTTGATCTAAGACGAAGCTTCTGGGATGGTTTAATATTATCTAACACTTGTCTGTTCTCCAAGAGATGCGTTCATCATCGTTCCATTTTTTATCCTTAAGTACTCCACAGCCTTCCATGTCCCCAAACAGAACACCTCAAAAGCTGCCACAACAGGAAAGAAAACAGAGAAGATAAATAAGAAAACCCCCGTCAATCAAAGGCTATGAATTAGGTTTAAAATAACAATCACACAATACTCAATGCAGATCGATCTAGGTAAAATAGGAATCATAGATCTTCTTAATCACTTACGGCATGGATTAAACGGATGGTTAAAGTCAAAGTGATGATTTCTCTTCATCTTATTTTCCCTTTAAGGATAGCTTCTTGAGCCATATACGATCTCCTGCAATCCATACATATATAGCTTCATGATCTAGATTCATCTACCATGCACTTGACATATATTAAAAATTCAAACTTTATCTCTATTAGAGACAACCCATTATATTAAAACTTGGTTTTATTGTTTGTTACTGCAATAAAATCACAACAGGGAAACAGTTTCTTACCGTCGTCTACAACAACAAAAACACATCAAAGATGAAAACAGAACATTAGTGAGATTTTGAAAATAAAAATAACGCACGATCATCATTAACAATACGAAACCCAGAAAAAAAAAACAAATTATGATATGCTAAGGGTCCGAATGGTAACTGCGGTTTTTACTGCGGGAGAAGTGCGGTGCGGTTCAAATAGTAACGAAAATATATGGATATATATGTATATGTAGATATTTTGACACTGTTCTAACACTGTTGCGGTGCGGTTTTATAGTGCAGTATGGTTACCATTCGGAGCCTAAGAACAGAAACAAAATACCTTCAGTGACGTGAAATGAGTTGATTTGATAGAATAAAGTGCTTGGTATATTGAATAATTAAAAAGAAAGGAACAGAAAATGATAGATCGAAAAGTACGTCAAATTTTCTCTGAAAAGATTAAAAAATGGAGAGAGCATGAAGATGAGGGTTTAAGGATAGAAGGTAGTATTGTAAATTCAGTTACCTAATTAATGTGGGAAGATATACGGCTGTGATTTAGTTTGTATTCACTATCTTAATTTAACTTTGATTTTACAGAAAGAGAGTAAATGCCAACTTGTGTGCATGGTGGCCTATTAGGTCCACAATATATTTTTGAGAGAAACAATTCCACATAATTCGTGAACCTAACATTTTTTTTAAGCATGCCTTATTTATTGAAAATGTCCAGTAAATTGGGCTGAGCCTCAGACTTTACATGTGAAACAAAGACTCAAGAAACAGAAAAAATACATCATTGGATGGAAGCTATTCACCTAATGACACTGACGCAGAGAGCCGACCATTAAAACCGGCGGATGCGAGATCCATAACTTTGCGGCAGATCAAAGTATCTAGCAAATGACAAGAAACATATGACCCCAAAATCTGTTCCTTTTCCCTCAATTAACCACCCCACCACAAATCCTCCGGTAAAGTCAACTCTGACGACACGGCACGTTGTTGACGGCTCCCGACCCTAGCAATCCGAAAACTTCATCCGTAATCCCTCCTTCCTAGATATGTCGATTCTCTGAAATCCGATCTAGCCTTCCTTCAATCCGACCTAGAGGAAGCAAAATGCGGTGGTAATTGTAGTGGATAAGATCCGGAAGGATCCATCATTAACCTCCAAGGCAAAACAGCAAAAGACCCTGACATCCGTTGTAGAAGCATAACCGACACAGCGTCTGAGCCACGAAAGATCTCTGCTACATCCCAACCAGCCGGAGGAAAAACACAGCAGATCTCTCCTACCAACTCGCCAAATCTCGATCTACATCAACGGGGAAAATAACCAACCACTGCTGATGGAGAAGGGGGCTAAAAAATCTCTGAAATCACCATGAAAGTTGAGGGGATGATGTTGATATATTATAGGGTTTACGGTTTTTTGCCATGGTATAACTTTTTTTTAGAGTCTTATTATGCTTTTTAGGATATTTTCGAGTCTTTGTAGAACAAGGAGCTATTTGGTACGTATTGGAGCAATGTGGAGCACTTGGGAGCATTTGGACAAGATGTGCCGAAGAAACATACTTGGAGAGTATATTTGGTGTGAGTGTCGTTTGACACCAATATCTAACAGCAATTGAATTTCACATATTTTCAAAGTTTTGAAGAATTACAGATTTTTCCAAATAGTTTTATTTATTTGCAATTAAGGCCCAATTCGTGTTTGAGACATATATTGAGTTTTTAGGTTTTTGTTAAGACTTAAGCTTTATTTGGAGAGAGAGAAAGAGGGCCGGGGTTTTTAGAGAGCTTGGAAAGAAGAATCAGAAACTGATTCAGAGTAGATTCAGAACTCCTTTACTTCTTATTTTAATTTCTTTTATGCAATCTATTTTATTCATGATGTTTGTTTCATTCACCATGTCTCAGTAGATTCCTTGTTAGTTTTAGGGCTTTCAAATGAATTCCTGAATTGTTACGTTGTTAGATAATTAGGATTGAATCAATAGAGTTTTTAAAGTAGATTGTGTTTAATTTATTCTAAAGTAGCAGAAGCAACCTAGAATCTGGTCCTAGGTTAATTGGTAGCAGAAGCAACCTAGAATCTTATTTCTTGTAAATAATCTTAGATGAGCAAAATATATACCTACTTGTAAAGGAATTTGGTTTAGGGATTTTGTTAACTTATCAAACCTGAATTTAATGCATGTCTTAAACTTTAAGTTTGCAAAGGAATATAGAATTTAGGGTTCTAGACATAGATAGTCTCTGCAACGGATGTTGATTAATTATAATTACGTGATTTGAGTTTAAAATTAACGGTTCTTAATAAATCATGATAATTATTTTCCTACAATTCTGAATTACGTGAGATTTCTCTAATTTAGATTTTTTCTCTTGTTGAACTTTACATCACTTTATTTAATTGTTTTGTTACTTTTAATTTTAGTCTTTCTGGTTTAGCTTAGGTTGACACCTAATTAATCTATTTTGTAAACATTGAGTCCTTGTGGAATTCGACCCCCTAGTACTACCTGATAGTGTGTCTTCAGATTATCTCCTCTGCAAACTCTTTCCATATTCACTTGCAGGGGAAGCAAAATTATGGCTTAAGCAGTTGAAGCTAGGACCTCTGACAATTTGGGAAGCTATAAAGGTTGATTTACTTAATAATGTCTATGATCATGCAAGGTCTCAAGAGCTGATATATGTCCTTGTTTTCTCAAGGACCTACTGAAGGACTTAAGACTGCTTGGGTAAGATCCAAAGAATATCAGAGGGATTGTCCACATCATGGTTTCAATGAGATCCAGCTTTTGGGTACTTTCTTCAAAGGTTTAGATTGGAGGTATTAGATGGCCTTGGATGCCGCTAGTGAGGGAATTTCAACACTCAGTCTACCGCTAAAGCTGCATTGCTAATTGAGAACTTGGCTTCTTGTAATATGATATGTATATCTTTTTTCACTTTCGAGCATGCATTTATCATCCATTTACCTTAGTTCACTCTTGGTTTCGCACCATTTTAGTCTCTTTAGGAAGATTTTGCATATTTTTTACCGACATTCTTGCATTTGGAGTATTGTCAGGTGTTTTAGGACTTCTAAAGGCCAAAGAAGAGGCTGGTGTCACTTCTGGGGCTAAACGAGGGGATTAGAAACATCAAAGGAGAAAAGAAGAAGTACTCGATCGCTCTACTCGACCAAGCCAATGAATGTACTCGATCGAGTGCGTGACAAGTTCTTTAAAGACTGACTCGAATGAAAATGTTTCATTGGGATTGAGATTCAGAGGCCTTCATCAAAGTTATAGATAATTGAGTTAGATTTGCAATGGTGGTGGTTTTAGGCCAATATAAGCTGTACTTAACAAATAACTTAAGTAGGAACAAAAGAAGAGAAAATGAAGGAATTAGACAACATACTTGCCATGCATGACAAGTCCATCAAAGATCGAATCGAGTGAAGCTCTTGCAATATATTTAGCTCCATTGTCCTTCATCGACATTGTAAGAAGTTGAGTTACCTTTTCGATGGTAGTTATTTCAAGTTAATCCGAGTTGTGGTGCAAAAGTTATCACTTTTTTTTAGTGAACGTATATTCATACAAATAACACCTACTCGACCCTATCACTCGAGTAAGCACTCAAATCAAGCCTTTTCTAGCCTATTTTGGTGATTTTTGGTGTACGAAACTTAGGAGATATGCAAGCTGAGGTTGGAAAGGACATGTTACTCGACTGACGTGGAGCAGAGTCAAGCATGTTACTCGACCGTCTATGAGAAAAGTAGCAGAGCTAAGTATGTTACTCGACCAACATAGAGCAGAGTCAACCATGTTACTAGACCGACGAGGAGAAAACATGTAGCAGAGTCAAGCATGTTACTCGACCGACAAGCAGCAAGTATAAGCATGTCTCTGAAGTTGTTCACTCGAGCAACCTAGAATCTGATTTCCTGAAAATAATCATAGATGAGAAAAATACCTATTTGTAAGGGAATTTGGTTTAGAGTTTTGGGAACTTATCAAACCTGAATTTAATGCATGTAATAAACTTTGAAATTTGCAAAGGAATTTGAAATTTAGGGTTCTAGACACAGATAGTCTCTACAACAGAAGTTGATTACAGTAAAACCTCATTAATAATGTTGGGACTAGGAAATTCTATTAATTTATTGATAAATTAATTTTATAGAGATATTTTCCTAATTTGATAGGTTTTTAAAAAGATATACATCAAAAATGAGATTCAGTCATTATAATCAATATTTTTTTAGACCCAGTTACAAAAAAAAATCATTATGAATGAATAAACACTATATTTTTTTTACATGAAATCTATTAGAATTGAATTCTAAGAAAAATGGAACGACGATCTATTCCCCCCCCCCGGAACTTTCGTATACGAACAGTTCCACCCACACTTTCAGCCTCTCTCTGTATCCCCCTCGAAACAAAGTTCCACAATTATTTCCCCTCACATCAAAAGTTTGAAACCTTTTTCCCCATCGAATTAAAGTTCGAAACTGATTTACACATCCAGCTGGGTTATTATTGGTTTACTGTAGACCAATATTTTCTTAACCATCTAAAACAAAATTAAACCAATATCCTCTTAACCATCTAAAACAAAATTAAACCAATCATAAACCAACTTAACCAAACCTAAATTTGATTATAACCTAAAGAAACAAAAAATCCCCAAATCAAACAAACCCCAAATCGATTTCATCTTCTTCTTATGAACCCTAATCCCCAAATTGCAATTTCATCTTCTTCCCAACTCTTCTTCTTCTCCGAATTGATCTTAGCTCCTCCGCCGAT